GGTAAGATGTGCAGCATGAGTTTGTGCACTTTAAAAATAAAGTTTCCTCTCTAATCCCAGATTCACCCTCTCAGGTATTTGTATTTCGGCTCTCTGATCCTGTTCAAGCTCTGATGTCTTGTGTTTTTAAGGATAATAATCACAGTTTAGTCAATTTTAGAGCAAATCACTGATATCTGTCTTTGTCCAACAGGATGACCTGCTTTCCCTGAAGGTGGGCAGCGTTCTGCATCACCTCAGCATCAAGAGAGCTATTCAAGTCCTCCGACTCAACAACTACGAGCCTAACTGCCTCCGTCGCCGGCCGTCAGACGAGGTGCGTTCGCTTTAACAGCCTGTTCTGCTGCTCGGCCCACTGACTTTACATACTCATAGCTATGTGTGAACGCACTGTGCTTGTGGTTTGTACTTTGTGTCTGTAGAACAACATTTCACCGGCAGAGATTTCCCAGTGGACCAACCACAGGGTGATGGAGTGGCTGAGGTCTGTGGATCTCGCTGAATATGCTCCCAACCTGAGAGGCAGCGGCGTCCATGGGGGCCTGATGGTGAGAGAGTTAGTTGTTAATTTCCCTGGAACAGCAGACGCTGTCCTGGGTTGTGTCCGCTCCTAATACACCAAATTCCCGCTCAGGTTCTGGAGCCACGGTTCAATGTGGAGACGATGGCTTTGTTGCTGAACATCCCCCCCAACAAGACTCTGCTGCGGCGCCACCTTGCCACACATTTCAACCTGCTTATTGGCTCAGAGGCCCAGCAGCTCAAACAGGAGTGTCTCGAAAACCCAGACTACACTTTGCTTACTGCAACCACTAAGGTCAAGGTAAAGCACGAGTTCCCACAGACAGACTGTCCTCTCTTACTTACAAGTACTGCAACTACTTCTCAGAGTACTTACAAGGAAATTATGTTGGAAATGCTTTTTCCTACGTATTTTCTTTAAATGGGTAACAAGTTGAGAGATTTGATTTGACAACGTGATATTAAAGTTTAGTTTCTCATGGAAATTAAATGTGCCCACACATTAATTTAAAGGAATTTTAAGTCACTAAAACTGGCATCAACCCTGTAACCATAAAATCATTGCCAGAAAATTCAACATTTTAAGTTTTTGTTTGTTTGTTTTGTTTAAATCTTGTGATATCAGTTTATGTCAGTTTGCATATGATTTTTAGTTCGTATCCTTTTTGCTCCATCTGGCGTTTTTGTGCAACATATTACTTAAAATTTTATTGTGCAATTTATTCCAGGAGGAAAAATGACACTGATGATGCAGAGGTCTCAAAAACTCACTGATCAAATATTATGACCTTTTTGTGTTTTTTCTAAATCAGAGGTTGGTATGTGTGCGTTCCTGTGCAAATGTATGTAGTACTTACCTGTCCTCTCTGTCCGGTTCACACCAGCCAAAGAAACTATCATTCGGTAATTTTGGCGGTCTGAGGAAGAAAAAGCAGGAAGAGAACGAGGAGTATGTGTGTCCGATGGACGTGGAGATGCCAAAGGGTCGGAGCTTCCAAAAAGGCTTCGAGCTCCAAATCTATGA